GCGGAAGGCCGAGGCGCGGGCTTGAGAGGAGATGGCGGGCACCTCTGCCCCGCGCTGATGCAGCGCGGCGCGCCGAGACGCCGGCGTGCCTCAGGGGCTGGTCGGGGGCGTGTTCGCGCGAGGAGGCAAGTTTGAGTAGAGAAAAGCCGAGGGGCCCGCCGCTGCGGGGCGACTCGCCCTGGAGGCGAGCGAGGCATGTGAGGTGGGCTGAGGGCCGCCGCGGCGACGCAAGGGCCTGCCCTTTTAGTGGGCGGGGTCTTTGACGTTCTGCACGGCGTCAGCCGGACAGGGCGCCGCTATCGTCGCTGTCGCGTCGTTGGTATTCGTCGCCGGCTTGCGGTTGTCTCCGCGCGTCCTCGGCTCATTTCAAACGTGGGAGTTCGGGTGCAGCAAAGCGTGATGTTTTGAGTGGTTGGGGAAGGCTGGGGTTGCTTTGGCTCCCCTGTTCCTTCTCCACTTTCCCTCTTTCTGCGCCGTGGCGACAGGAGGGCTCGCCCGGTTAGCGGGCGGGCTGAGATCCGCCGTGGCGACGCAGGGGCCTGCCCGAATAGCGGGCAGGCTCTTTGACGTTCTGCGCGGCATCTGCGCGGCATCTGCCAAAAAAGGATGCCGCTATCGTGGCTGTCGCGTCGTTGATATTAGTCTTCGCTTCGCGATTGTTCTTGCGCGTCCCTAGCTCGTTTCAAGTCGCGTAGACGACAAGCGCGGCCTTGACGACGACGACAGCGGCGATTCCAGTGACTTTCTCCTCCTTTTCTTCCTCCTCCTCCTCCTCCTCCTCTTCCTCCTCCCCCCCTTCTCCTCCTCCTCCTCCTCCTCCTCTTCTGCGCGCCGTTCAGGAGAGACGAGGGGAGGAGTGACGGGGGAAACGTATTTGGAAGCGCGAGGGGGATTTACTCTTGCCGTTTTCTACGTGACAACTCAAGCAAGCGCGTGGGTTTGCTGTGCCTGCTCTGTGGCGTGCTACTTGCGGGGCTTCTGGCATTTGAGGTGCCCGAGTGCCATCGCGGTAACCATTTTCTATGTGGCCCCTTGTCCGAGGGAATTTGAGCATGTGTGATCTGAGTGTTAGCGAGTCGGCGTGTGAGTGGGCCCGGGTGCGATCGAGCCTGAGCGTGAATGAGCCTGTATAGTCAGTGTGGGTACGAGTGGATCTGAGTATGACTGGGTCTGAGGGCGAGTGGGTCTGAATGTGAGTGCGTCTGAGTGTGAGTGGGTCGGATATGGAATGTGATGAGTGCATGTGTGAGTCCGAGTGAGGCAGGGTGTGAGGCAGTCTGCGCGTGAGTGGGTTTGATGGCTGTGTGAATGGGTTGTCTTTGGTGTTGGTGTCTGAGTTGAGCGAGTCGGAGTATGAACGAGTAAGGATGTATGAGGGACGATTTCGCATGTGATGAGTGAGTCTGAATGGGGAAGAGGTGCTGGTGAATCAATGTGGGTGCCAATGAGTGCGTGCTGGTGGGGAACAGGGGAAAGAGGTCGGATGGATGTGAATGAGTGCGTAAGTGAGTGAATGAGTGAGGGGCGCACAATTGAGAAAAGGACAAGTCAGGGGGGGCAGAGCCAGGCAGATCGTTTGAGACATCCCCACGATGTGAACGCGAACCTTGAGGTATTCCCCCCCATGGCGGCGCTCCATTTTGGTGTGGCCAAGTGCCGCGTCTGCTATATCACTGTGAGCGTTGAGCCCCACACATAGAAACGTTACCGCTTGAGGCATCCCCGAACGCGAATTTTGGAATGTCCCCACCCTTGGCGGTTCCACACTGGGGTGCCCAAGTGTCACGCTTGTTTTATCGCGGTGAGGAATGGGCCGTGACAACACAAGTAAATATGGGGAACAGAAACAGGCAAACCGCCCGAGACATCCCCAACATGTTGCCGCGAACCGTGGAGTGTCCCCACCCCTGGCAGTTTCCGTTTGGGTTGCACAGTTGAACACCAAAAAACAAACCGCGGGGGCAGAAACAGGCACACCGCCTGACACATTTGCATCAGCTGCTTTGATAACAGGATGCTGGGCATGCAAACGGGCAGACCGCAGGATGCATCACCACAATTTACCCCGCGAATCCTGGAGTATCCTGACCCATGGCGCCCCTTTTTTGGAGTGCGGAAGCCAGTGCTTCGCTTGAGATATCCCCAGAATTTTCCGATAGCAGAGGATGTTGGGCACGCAAACAGGCACACCGCTTGCTACATCCCCGCAATCTGGGCGCGAATCTTTGACTGTCCTGACCCCTGGCGCCCCTCTTCAGGAGTGCTGAAACCAGCACATCGCCTGAGACATTGTCAGAATCTGCTCTGGAAACAGATGATGTTGGACGCGCAAACAAGCAAACCGCTTGAGACATCCCTGCAATCTGGACGCGAATCCTTGAGTGTCTTGACCCTTAGCGCCCCCTCTTTGGGGTGCCCAATTGCTACGCCTGTTCTATCGCGGTGAACATTGGACAACCAACGAGTATGAGAGAGTTTGAGTCTGAATCGGAGGTTGGGGGGTGAGATCGCAGTGGAAAGGAGACCCCCAAAAGGGAAACCGTTTCGTTTCGTTCGTATCGTGCGGGCGGGCGAGGCGAAGCTGCGTGGGCGCGCGAGAGGAATTAACCCGCCGCTGCTAGGGCGAAGTCAAGACACATGATTCTTCCCCGCCCGCCCGTCCGTCCGTCCGTCCGGCGGTGGCTCGCGGTGTCCCGCCGTGTCCCGTGGTGTCCCGCGGTGTCCCGTGGTGTCTTGTGGTGTCCCGTGGTGTCCCGTTGAGTGAGATCGATAGTGAGATCGATAGTAAGATCGACAGTGAGATCGATAGTGAGATCGATAAAGAGATCGATGTGGTGCTCCGAGGTGTCCGTCCCGTGGTGTCCCGTGGTGTCCCAATAAGTGAAATCGATAGTGAGATCGATAGTGAGATCGAGAGGTGTCCCGCGGTGTCCCGTGGTGTCCCGTGGTGGCCCGTTGAGTGAGATCGATCGTGAGATCGATAGTGAGATCGATATTGAGATAGATAGTGAGATCGATAGGGAGATCGATGTGGTGTCCCGCGGTGTCCCGTGGTGTCCTGTGGTGTCCCGTGGTGTCCCGTTGAGTGAGATCGATACTGAGATCGACAGTGAGATCGATAGTGAGATCGAGAGGTGTCCCGCGGTGTCCCGTGGTGTCCCGTGGTGGCCCGTGGTGTCCCGTTTAGCGAGATCGATCGTAAGATCGATAGTCAGATCGACAAGTGTCCCGTGGTGTCCCGTGGTGTCCCGTTGTGTCCCGTGGTGTCCTATGGTGTCCCGTTGAGTGAGATCGATAGTGAGGTCGATCGAGTCAGATTTGGTTCTCCCCCCTCTCCCCCCCACAACCTCCTTATCACCCGAAGGGTGGTCGTATGAGGAGTACGACGGGTATGAATGTGAGTTAGTCTGAGTGTGAGTGAATCCGAGTGCGAGTGAGCCTAAGTGTGAGTGAATATGAGTGTAAGTGGCTCTGATTGTATTGAGTCTGAGTGTGAGTGAGTCTGATTGTTAACGAGTCTGAATGTGATCGAGTCAGAGTTCGAGTGTGTCCGTTTGTGAGTGAGTCTGAGTGTAAGTGAGTTTGAGTATTATTGAGTATGAGTGAGTCTGAGTCTGATTGTGTCACTCTGGTTGATTTTGAGGAGGAGAGGAGTTGAGAAGGTTCTCGGAACCGTCTAAGTAATCACACGACGTCCATTTTAGGATAAATGGGAAAACGTGTCCCAATGATCTGATCCGATTTCCCGATTTAGCGTTGAATGACTCGACCCCCTGCCGGGAGGGGGTCCAGCGCCGATCCAAGAAATCCGGGCGGAGCTCCGAAAGCTTATGCTTACATATGCTTTGTTTTCTGCCTTGAATGGGCCTCATCCTTCGTGGGCCTAATCCTTCCGTGCGCCGCCAATGATTCGATCCCATTTCTCGATTCGACGCTGACAGACTCGATCTTGGTCTCCCCAGCGGGGTCGGAGTAGATGAGGTCTGTGGATCGCGCAACATCGCCGACGTATCGGGGATGCAACGTCTCCGATGCATCGACAACGTCGCCGATGCATCGCCGAGGCATCGGCGATGCGTTCCCGATGCGGCGCGATCCTCCGACTGCATGTACTCCGACCCCACTTAGGCGGCCTCTATGAGCATACACTTTCGAAACTCTGCGCGGATTTCTTGGATCGGCGCCAGACCGCCCCTCCCTGGCGCGCGGGGCGTCGCCGAAGGAGCCGCCAGGGGAATCCAGCGCCAGTCAGGTCAGAGACATCCGCGCAGAGCTCTGGAAGTGTGTGTCCATGCGCGTGTTTTTTGTTGTTTTCTTGTTTGTTTCCTCTTTTTCTTTTGATTTGTTGTTTCTCGGCTTAGACAAGATCGGCGGGGTCTGTGGCGTGCCGTGCCCTCCTCTGGCGACCGAGCCCTCCGCCCGACCACGTCCGATCGGACTTCGCCCAGGAGGCCTCGTGCTCGGAGGCGGCGACAGGGGGCGAGGAGGCCAGGGGCGGGCACTACTCAGGAGCGACACGGGAAGTACACTCTGCTCGGGGGCGGCGACGGGGGCGAAGAGGCGGGGGGCGGGCACTACTCAGGCGGCGACACAGGAAGTACGCTCTGCTCGGAGGCGACGACATGGGTGAATAGGCCAGGGGCGGGCACTAATCAGGAGCGACACAGGAAGCACACAGGCCTGAATCCGCCTTGGTTTCGAGAGTACGCATTGCGCAACCCTTCGTATCACGCGGCCAGTCTCGCGGACCAGGGGGCCACATTTTCTTGTGCGTGGTTGGGCGCGTAGGTCCTTTGTGGGCCCCCAAATTGCACGCATTCGCCCACGAGCCTCGCCGACGGCATGGACCATCAGCGCCCTTGGATACACGTACTTCTTCTCCCCTGGGCCATTCGCCCCCATCGGCCCCCGATCTGCTCGAGCCCCTGCCGGCGGCGGTGGCCGCCAGAGACCCGCGGCAGCAGCGGCCTGCGGCAGGGGGGCTGCGGCGCCCGGCCGAGGCCGCTCATCAACCGCAACCAGACCCTGCCGCACAAGAAGGCTCGTCGTGGGCGACAGACATCTTCTGGTTCGTAATAACCTCGGGGAAACGCAAGGCTCGGGTAAGCCGGAGCTCGGGCTTACCGACGCTTTTTGACGGGCGCGTCCTGGATTTTGACGGCCCAGTTTTCGTGGGATGTCTGCAGCGGGATCTCGCGTCAAATTTCAGACAAGTCTGACCCCCTCCCTTCTGGCATGAAGCCCGGAGCATGTGCAGCCGCGGCCTCGCGGGCCGGGCCCCTCCGCTTCGGCTGCCAGGCGCGCCAGCGTGCCCGCGCGTCTGCCTGACGCCGGGCTCCAGTCCGCCAGCCAGGGGGAGGGCCCTTTTGCGGCGATTGATGCAGTTCGGGTGTGACTGGCAATGCCGAGCCCAAGCGCACGTAAGTCGGTTCTTGCGAGAGGAATCGCGGCGATGATCGGGGTGGAGTCTGGGCAAGGTTGAGACAGCTTGCAGGGCGCCATGGCATCAGTCGTGTGCGAAAAATATCGACCCCGCGGGCACGGGGCGTTTTTTTCAAGGATGTCCTGCGCGAGACGTGTTCGTACAACCACGTATCCGCGGAACCGCGCCCTGAAATCCAGACCGCGAGGGCGCGGATACGGATATGTTCGCCCTCCATGCGCTCGGATAAAAATCGGCGGCGAGCGAGGGGGGAAGTGAGAACGAGAAGGCCTTCTCAGAAGGCGGTGGGTCTTCTCAGATGGCCTCTGGCCTTCTGAGAGGTTTTCTGTGTCTTCGATAAAGGCTCATAGAACTTCTCGTACGGCCAGTGGACTTCCGAGCCTTCTGAGAAGCCCCGCCCCTTCTCACTCCCCCCCGGGCGGCCTCGCCGCCGACCCTCGGGTCGTGCGAGCATCCCGACGGACGGTTTTTGCAATCCTCGGTCTCTGGGGGCCCTCGTCGGGCCCTGGGACCGTCAGAAACCCCGGCCCTGGACGACAGGCTGGCCTCCTGAGATGGCTGGGGGTCTGGGGACCGACTCCCTGAAGTCGCGAGGTTGTGCTGGTGCAGACTTCCAGTAGGGGGTCGCATACATCATTAATGCACCACAGAATTGTTTTTCGTCGACTCTGCGAAACATGCATGGAATGTGCCGTGGACCTACAAGCATTCACAGACTGTGCCGTGGACCTGCGGAGCATTCTACGTATTTCTTGACGGAGTAATCAATTCCGGGGTAAGTCAATTCTGTAGTCGATCCCCGACTCGAAGACTGGGGGGCTGAGGTGGCCCAGCCAGTACTGGTTCCCGCCAGCAGGAAGGGGAAAAAGGGCCCCCCCTCGTCGCCACGGCTGCTCGTGGCTTTCAAAATTTGTCGGTTTCGATTGCGGGAGGGGTCGAGGGACCGACTTTGGGCGGACTTGCCCTCGTCCCCCCCTCTTGACTGTTTTCTCTGGGCTCATCTAGCTCAGACCCTGGGGCGCCTCCGATACGAGTCGCCATGAAGCACACGGGTCCTGAGGGAAACTAGTCCTGGACGTTTTTCACCGTTTTCGGGCTCTGGGGTCCTGCTGCGGGCCCTGGGACTATCAGAAATGGCTTTAGGTGAAAGGTTGGCCCCACGGAAAGGTCCTGGGTTCCAGGACCTTGCGACGCAGTCAGAGGAGCAAAAACGGCCTGATCAGGGGCAACCTTCCCAGACCCCCGACTTAATGATTTTTTTATAACGTCGATCCCCACAGGTCTTGATCCACGGTCCCGAGGCCCAGTAAGGGCCCCCAGAGGCCGAAAATATTGAGAAACTTCCCGTCGTGATTTTTTCATGTCTCGAGGGGGTCTTGATTAGGGGGGGACCTGCACATCGTTGGCCAGGGCCCGATGGCCCACGCCGCACGGGACCGTGCGGGCTCGCTGTCGTGGCGCGGCGCCGACCTATCGGCGACGTATCGCCGACTCCAGGTCGATGCTTCCTCCCCCTTTGTCTGGGTCGGGGGCTGCGGCCCGCAGGCCAGGCTCTGAGAAGGGGGAGGGGGACCCCCCTCCCCGAGCCCCCTAGACAACGACGCACAGAGGGCCGGTGGGAGTGTTTCCTCTCCTGAGCGGATCAGGATTCCCCGCGAATCTCTTGGATCGGCGCTGCTGGACCCAGCGGTGGTGCCTCCGGCGCCGACCCTGGCGACGCCCCGCGCGTCAAGGAGTGGGTGTCCAGCGCCGATCCAAGAGATCCGCGCGGGCCTTGGGAGGTTTGCGCATGCGACGCTCCGCCTTCTCGTAGAGGTGATGATGTTCACCACCTCCGAGAACGCACAGGAGCGTCCGCCGCGGGGGAAGGGCGCGCCCCCCGCCCCCCCCCCCTCGGAGGAAGCAGAGGCGACACCACCATCACCGCCAGGGGGGCCACCTCCAGCGAGGATGTTCTCGATGCCTCCCCGAGCTGGGGGGAGGGGACGTGTCGAGCGAAAGGGGGGGACCGCACCTCCAGGAGGACCTTCCGTGGCGCCTCGCGCTGGTGGTGGTGGTGGTGGTGGTGGTGTGCCTTTCCTTGTTGCTCTGTCCCCCCTCCCCCTCCGCCAGCCCCCCCCCCTCTGCGTGGGGTGGGTGGGTTGCGGGGCCGGGTGGGCGGGGAAGTGAATGGGCGTCGAGGAGGGAGGGCGGGTGGGTTGATGGGTGCGGGCGAGAAGGGGGGAGTATGGAGGGATGTCAGAGATGGGGGGGGATCGAAGGGGACATGAGGGGCGGGTGGGTGGGTGGGGGGGAGGGCTAAGAGGCAGATGTGAGCAGGACGGAGGGCGAAATGGAGTGGTGTGGAGAGAGGGGGTGCGTAGGGGGCAGAGGATGGGGAGGACGAACGAAGGACAAGGAGGGATATGTAGGGGAGGAGGGGGGAGTAGTGCAAAACTAAGGCGCACCAGCGATGTTGCGATGAATTCTCCCTCAAAGTTCCTTCTTCACAGGTCCCTACAAGGAATTTGCTTTCATTGCGCCAAGTGCCCAATTGGAAGATAACCGTGTGATAATCCCCAATCGTGCCAGAACGCTATTCCTGGGACTTCAGCGCCGCGAATCAACGGGACTGCTGCGTCCTGACAATCTTAAATGCTGCCAGGAAACGATGTCCTGGGATTCGAACACCGCGAATCAACGGGACTGTTGCGTCATGGCAATGCTAAGTCGAACCAGAGCACCGATCTTTGGCCTTCAAGTGTACGAATCTTGAACATGTGTGGCAAACTTTTAGATGGATGTGCGCGGCGCTCAGGAGAGAACCACATTTTGAAAACGTTCCGCCCTCCCTCGTTGAACTTGTTGCGAACTTTTTTCCGCGGATGTACGCGGCGCTAGAGCGAGAGCCACGTTCTGAATACGGGCGCCCTCCTTCCGTCTTTTTCTCCAAATCTTTAAGGCGAATGTGCGCGGCGCTACGGCGAGATATGCATTTTGAAACTGGGTCACCGTCCATCCTTGAACATGTTGCAGACTTTTAAAACGAATGTGCTCGGCGCTAAGGCGAGGGCCATACATATTCAAAAGTCCAGCCGCCCTCCATCCGCGCTTCAGGATAATTTGAGGGAGTTTGTGTCTTAAGAATTCACGTTGTTTTGACCCCTGGCGCGCGAGAGAATGGGCCCGCCAACCGCCTCCTGTTCCGTTTCGGGGAAATCCGGGAAATCTGGCGATAAATGTCAGACTGGCTTCCTCTTTTGGCTCAAGACTAACGATTTCAAGCAACAGCAATCTTCCCCATATTTCTCCATACTTCCCGTACTTCCCATACTTCCCCATTGATCTTACTTTTCTCTACATCTTGCACTCCCGATGGCTTCTTCAGGCGATGGTGACAAACGACAGCCAGGTACTCCGGTCAGGCAATTGTTCAAGCAGCACAGGATCCACAGCCCGCTTCATCGAATGGATGGGCTTGATGATGGATCTGGAGACCTTCCCGAAGGACGCCCAGCGCCTGAGCCAGCAGCTCCAGGCCAACTACAACTACCTCCTTCCGGCCCCTTCCTGGGGAAAGGCGCAGCTGGGGCAGGAGGAGAACCAATTACTCCAGATGCTATTGGGAACCTGATTGCACGCCAGCTCCTTCCGATCCAGCAGGACATCGCAGCCATCAAAAAGCACGGCTTATCCCATAAGGACTTGGAGGATGCTACGCTACCACTAAAACAACACATCGGGGACATGAAGAACGACTTCGACGCTATGCAGAACATTGTTTCCAATGACATCGAAGACATGCAAATAAGAATGACAACATTGAAAACGATATGCAGGAGCGTTTCGACAAGACCAAGCAAGACTTCGGGAACATTGGACATTTTACTCCGCGATCCGGGAACTCCCAGAAGTCAGCGGATGAATACCATTGCAACGGAAAGCGTTCAGTTACAGCGTTCATCGGCAATCTTGAGAACTTCGAGTCCGAGGTCACCGCGGCAGAGTTCATCCGGGAGCATATTGCTGTTATGAAGGGCCCTGTACCTAGAAACATGTATTCAAAAGGGGATTTCAGAAGCATTCTATTTGTGGAGTTTGGTGACATGTTGGAACGGGATGCCGCTGTTGGACTCATCCGTAGTAAGCGTATCCAGCGGGGGGCGAGCACTGCTTGGGCGTCTCAGGACAGGGATCCGGCCGACAGGGCAGACCGGAATTTTGCGATTGGCGTCAAGTACATGCTTAAGGAATATATGGGAATCGAATACACCATTAAGGTATCGGACTACGCCCCCTACCGAGTGCACGTCGGCGGAGAGTTGGCGCTGACCGTGCAGGTTCGAGACCGAGCTGTGGACCGGCAGTCGGAGGAAGAATGGGAAAACTGGGATGAATTTCAGAATCACGCACAGATAGGATCCTCAGTGGAAAAGTACGATTCTATTGTTCGCCGTGCCGGTTCCAGAATGAAAGGGAACCCTAAAGGAATGTCGAAAAGAAGCCAATCCGAATAGAAAACCCGGGGGGCACTAGAGCCTCTCAGCCTGGAGGCCAGTGCCACGACCCCCTAAAGACACCTTCCAGGCCAACATGCCTCTCTCCGCTCGCCGAAACTTGGGCGTGCAAAGCTGGACGTGGGTGGGGATGCAGACCACAACTCACCACGTGAAAGCGCGGATGCCCAACGCTCAACGGCCCCGCCGGGCAATGCTACCGGCAATTGCGTTTCACCTTCTGCGGCGCCTGACGTGGATGCCATTTCGGACAAAGATGCCGACGGGCCGCGTGGGGCTCCAGACAATCAAGGTGCAGAACTTGTAGCTAAAGCTAATTATGCTAAAGCTAAGCTAAAGCTGAGCTGCAGCTGAGCTACAGCTAAGCTAAAGCTAAGCTAAAGCTAAACTAAAACTAAGCTAAAGCTAAAGCTAAATCTACAACTAAGCTGGAGCTAAGCTAAAACTAAGCTAAAGCTAAGCTAACGCTAAGCTAACGCTAAGCTGAAGCTAAGCTAAAGCTAAGCCAACGCTAAACTAAAGCTAGCTAAAGCTAAGCTAAAGCTAAGCTAAAGCTAAGCTAAATCTAAGCTAAAACTAAGCTAAAGCTAAGCTGAAGTTCAGCTAAAGCTAAGCTAAATCTAAGCTAAAGCTAAGCTAAAGTTAAGCTAAAACTATAGCTAAAGCTAAAGCGAAGGCTAAAGCTCCCAGGGGACTGGGGGAACCGCGGGGCGGGGGCTGGGGGAACCGCCCGGGGCGTGGTCCACTGCCCGGCCCCTTTAAGCTAAGAGAGTAAGAACCCTTCTAGGCAGAGCCTAGGTAGGGAATGAAGACAGTTGGGGACGCCCCAAACGTCAATGCCGCCCGCTGAAAGATGCGTGTTTTGCAACTTGGAACGTGGAAGGCTTTCGGACAGAGCGTGCGAAACTTGTTGAAGTTATCCATCACATGGAGCATCATGATATTGCTATTCTTTGTGTTCAAGAGACAGGGGTACGCAGTTCCGAAGTTTACTATGAAAACGGTCATATCATTATATTCTCTGGTACGAACACAGAGGCCCCTGGGCGATTCTATTCTGGCTTTGTCTTCATTGTTGCTCCGTCTGCAGTGGCGAGTGTGTTTCGTTTCAAGCTCATATCGGAAAGGCTCGCTTCTTTACTCTTGCGTGTGCCAGGAGGCGTGCTCAATCTCCTTAGCGCGTGCGCTCCGCACTCTGGACATGGCGCTGAAGATCGGCGCGCTTTTTTCGATCTCTTGACTGCTGCGTGGCCGAAGCGCGGCCTCCATGCATGCACTATGGCACTCGGCGATGTCAACGCGAAGCTCTTCTGCCAACAGCAAGGAGAAGACGCCACCATGGGGCAGTTTGTATCCGAATGCAAGTGGCCCCAGAATGCGAAAGAGCTAAACAGGGACTTCCTTATAGAAGCCTGCCGGGCGACGGACGCAGTGATCGCCAACGCGTGTTTCGACCATGGGAATAACAGGCTGGTGACGCACTATAGGCCCGCTGGTGATCTCCAGCAGGGCGCACGTGCAGCAGGTTTTCCACATGTGGACCACTGCTTAGTGGACGTGATGCTGATGGGCAATATCACATGCATACATTCAAAGCGGGACGTACCATTGGCATCGAGACACTTTTTACTCCAAGTATGGTCTTCAATATCGTTGGACACAACGAAGAACAATAATCATACATATTATCAGGGACTCGGGGGCAACGCTTGCGCAGTGACCGCGCTCTGGCAGAGACCTATTGCGACGCCTTCTGCGGGGCAATGCGCGCGGAAGCACTACCTGAAGATTTGGATGGGCGTGCCGATCGCATCCGAATTGCGATGCAGAGCGCCTCCGGAGTGGCAAATGACCACAAGAAGCAATCACCCCAGCCATGGACATCGCAAAGCGCATTGGACTTATTAGTTGAGCGAGACTCGGCGCGCCCAGCGGTACACACAGAAGAAGAACAGAGAGGGAAAACATGGTCCCGAGTTCAATCCAGAAAGATAAGCGCAGATGGTTGGACGAACAATTGCAGAATGGACCATGGCATGCTGTCCGGCAGCTTAGGAAAGGCGCCGCCAAACGACCGAATCAAATCAAAGACCCTGAAGGTAATTTGGTGGGCAGCAACAATCGCGGTGACGTATTGGCAGACTATTTTGAGCGCTCGCAGTGGAAAATCACGAACCCGCATGCCGGCCCTACTTCCAAAACTACTTTGGGTAACGATCTGCTTGTCAAAACAAGCGCATTCACCATGGAGGAGCTCATTGGTGCATTGAAACACCTTTCAGCTGGGAAAGCCGCAGGCGCGCGCGAAATGCCGCCGTAATTTTGGAAGTATTTATTGCGAGATTGGGAAGCATTGGATCAATAGCTGAATTTATGCCATAAGTGTTGGGGCCAAAACGACCTACCAACAGATTGGAAGACAGCTTGTGTTACGCTTTTATACAAAAAGGGGGGCGTAAGCCTGCCAGAGAATTACCGGCCAATAGCTTTATCACCCGTGGGGTACAAAGTGGCGGCGTCGATGATCCAAAGAAGACTTCACGAGGGGGGCGCCGAGGGGCGGATGCGGAAAACGCAGTTTGGCTTCAGGCCGGGCCGAAACGCTAGTCAAGCTATCTCCATCGTGCGCAGAATGGTAGAAGCAGCCTGCGCGAGTTCCCCGGCAGGGTTCGTTGGTATCTTCTTGGACTGGGCAACGCGATGCGCTGATTGTGTCGCTGCGGCGATTCGGAATCCCCGACAGGATGGTTCAGTTCATTCCAGGGATATACAACCAGCGGTTCTTCTTGCTAAAAAGACAAGGCGGGGTCTTCGTCGATTCGGTGCCAGAAAGCAGGTATTGCTCAGGGCTGTCCACTTCCTCCCTATCTGTTCATCATTGTGCAGTCTGTCATGTTCTACGACATCGGCCAGAAGATGGAGGCAGCAAGCCTGGGCACCCAAGAGCCGCAGGTTATGGTTACCACAGATCTTTCATACGCTGATGATACAATGCTCGCCGGCAGCGACACAGACAAGTTGCAGTTATTATTGGACGCGGTTATCACAGAGGGGTCGTTGTATGGGTTGGAGCTTAACTGGGACAAAACAGTTGCCCTCCGCATCAAGCGCAATGGCGTGGGATATATCTCGGAGGGCTTATCGCAGCAAATGGGACAGCTCAGCCTGAAGTTTCTCGGCGGCTAGGGGAAGCAGAAGGTATTTTTAAGGCTCTGCAGCGCTGCTGATCGCACGCCAATATTCCCAGACACAGGGGGATCGAGCTGTACAGCGCAATTGTGATCCCAAAACTGTTGTACCACATCGATTTTATATGGTTGTTGCAGGCGGACAAGCGCCGATTGGGCGGCTTCCATGCTCGGTGCTTTCGTAGAATCTTATCGATGCCCTGTTCTTTCGTCTCTAGAATATCGAACAAAGAGGTTTTTGAGAAGGCAGGGCACTTGCCTTTAAGTGAGATTTTGGCTGACAAGCAAAAGAAGTTGTACAGCGCCATTGCAGCTCTCCCACGCGACAGCTTGCTGAGGGCTCTAACCTGCGAGCCGGGGTCCTCTGAGCCACGAAGGTGGGTTTCAAAGCGTAGGCGCGGGAGGCCGAAACAGCAGTGGGCAGAGTGCGTATACAGATTGTTGGATAAGCAATGCTTTACAACATACAGTTACCGCATGTTTGATCTATCATCGTCGACATCTTCTTCATCGCACGTTTGATCCATGCAGGTGTCACATGTTTGATTCGTCATCTTGGCTCGGCGTTTGGCCGTGGCCTCTCGCCCTCGGCGTTTGGCCGAGCCTTCTCGCCCTCGGCGTTTGGTCGAGCCCTCTCGCCTTCGGCGTTTGGTCGAACCCATGTGCCCTCGGCGTTTGGTCGTGCACTCTCGCCCTGCTGATGCGCCGTGCAGGCGCCTGGCGCACCTGACCTTCCTCTCGTGGGACATCTTTAGAAAACGGGCCCCCCGAGCCTCCCCCCAGGAAATCCGGCCACGAATTCCACACCGGCGCCGTCGCCTGGGACACCCTCAGAAAACAGGCCCCCCGAGCCTTCTCGAGGAGGCCCTCAGAGACGCTCCCTCAAACAACGGCGTGAATCTAATTTCTCTGAGGTCCGCGCGGATTTTTTTGTATCGGCGTTGGACTGACACATGAACATTATCATAGCACATAAAGATTAATACAAACATAAACATAAACATAAGCACTGAATCATCAACAACGACATAACCAAACATTGGAACTTGGAGGTTTGCGCGGGTTCCTCGGATCGACGCTGGGCCCCCTCTGGTGGCGCCTCCGGCGCCGCTCCTGGCGCGCTCCGCGCGCCAGGGAAGGAGGGGTCCAGCGCCGACCCGATCAGCCCGCGCGGGTCTCAGAGAAGTCATGCTTGTGCCGCTTCTCGCTCTTCCCACCCTTCCACCCTCCCGCCCGCTCACTTCTGCCCGTTCCCTTGGGCCCCCTCCCTGACGGGCCCGTTTTCCACCACCACCACCAGAAGTTGGAGGGGGAGGGGGTCCTCCTCCTCCTCCACCTCCTTTTCCTCCTCCTCGTCCTCTTTTTTTCTTCCACCATCCAACTTATGGTGGTGGTGGTGGAAAACAGGCCCATCATTTCCCTCCTCGCTCTCCCACGCCCTTCTGTCTTCCCGCTCACTCTCTCCCCCCCTCGACCCTTCTGGGATTGCCGTCGCAGCCTCCTGCTCCCTCTGCTCACTTGGGATCGGCGCGCACCGCAAAGGCCTGTAGTAGTATCAGTATGCTCGCCGTTCGTGCTGCGGCTCACGCGGCATCCCGCCCTCATCTGATGCTGCGTCTCCTGCTGACGCCCCCGCTGCCAAGGACGAGATTGAGGTCATCGTATTGCAGGCGGGGAGTTTCCATCTTCTGCTTGAATCCAAGCGCAGCTGCCATTACCAACACGGACGCATCGCTTTCTGATGCCAGCGCTACCATGCTCGGCTACCAAGCCAGCGCACACCTGCTATGTATCACTATTGATAGAGCAGTTGTGCAGCCAGTGCAAACAGCTGGCGCGCAAAGTGCACACATGTTGTTTGTAAGGAAGCTGTGGTGTGATCTTGAAGATGCGAATCGATGACAGATATGGCGGCGGCCATGGCGAGAAATGTTGATCCTCTCACTGTTCGAGGAAACGCTCCGCATGACTACGGCGCTTGGGTCAGCGACGGGTCCCGCTTGCATGCAACATGGACGCTATCCGTCGCCACATCAACCGGCGCTGTCTGCATGTTTCGGTGGAAATTTCTCCGATTCATGGATCTGGCGCCCGTGTGCCAGACCCACGCATCCGCAATCCTGCTGGTGTGTGGCCTCGGGCCGCCCCGTTGCTGCGACGGTGCTCCCTGCACAAGTGTACAGGCTCTGCAGCCGGCCTGGGTCCGGGCGGGGCCAGGACAAGGACAAACCCGCCCAGGAGTGTTCCAGAACGCTCTCAGAGCGTTCCGGGAAGCTCCCAAAAGGCCGCGGCGCCCGATACATCTTCCAGAGCCGCCGGACCTCAGATATTCGATTTATTCCTGTCCCATTTTGTTCCTGTCCTGGCCTCGTCTTGGGATGTTCTGTTGGCTTCGGTGGAGGGGCAGGAGGGGGGGGGAAGGGGGAGGAGGTTGGGTGGGAGGGGAAGGGGAGGAGGAGGAGGTGAAGCAGGAGGAGGGGGAGGATGACCTCAGAGATTCGATTTATCCCTGTTCGATTTTGCCCTTGTCCTGGCCTCCATCGCATTGTTGGCGAGCGGCCGCCGGCCGGGGGCGCGGCGGAGTTGGGCGGGCGGTGCCGTGTCTCCTCGTCGGCTCCACCGCCCCAAGGGTGAGCGGCCCATGGCCAAGGACAACAAGCGTCTGGGCAGCTTCGTCCTCGACAACATCCCGCCCGCTCCGATTGGCGCGGGGGGGGGAGTGTCGGGGGATGGGGGACGTGGAGGTCGTTTTTTTTCCTGGCGATGGCGGGCGTGCTCTGGGGTGGGGAGGGAGTGGGGTGGGGAGGGGGCCAGTCGCGTCACGATTCGCGCCAGCGCCGCCAGGGAGAGCGTCGGAGGAGAGGGGCGTGCCATTGCCAATGTTCTAGGCCTCCCCGATCGGGTCTGAGCAGGTGGGGTTGGAGGATCGCGCCGCATCGTCGATGCATCGTCGATGCATCGATGGTGCGGCGCGACGCTGATGCCGCATTGCTTCACGTCTACAGCGCCGATGCATCGGCGATGCGGCGCGTTCCTCCGACCTCGTCTGCACCGACCGCATCTGGGAGGCCTCTGGGGTCGGGGGAGGAGGGCGTGCCAGTGCCGATGTTGCCCCCTCGTCCTCGCTTGTCTCGGGGGCCTCCTGGGCTGTCCCCTGCGCCACCGCCGCACCCGCCCCGAAGTCCTGCTCGGAGCGCGCGCCAGGAGAGGTGGTGCGTATGTTCGAGGGGGGAGGGGAGATCGCCGCCCGGGGAGGATGGCACCTCCCCTTGGGCCAGTGCTCGTTCCGGTGCCGCCTCTGCCCTGGGAGAGCGGGAGATCCACTCGGGCTGCGCTTGACATGGACAGCGTGCGTCATCTCCTGCGTGCTTGTGCCTCTGCGTCTCGCGTCTCGTCTGTCGTGTCGCGTCTTCGTCGCCGAACCGTCTGTCCGTCTGCCGTTGCCGCTTCTCTCTGCCACCGGGCCCCTCCTGCACCGGTAGGGGAAAAGGTTTGCTGGCGCCTGCCGGGCGCTCCCGCGGTGCGCCGTGCTCGCCTGCACCCCGCGGGTCGGGGATTCCTGCGCTCGTGGACACGCAACGCGGATCAGCGACGGGTACCGTTTCCACACGAAATCGGCGCGCTCCGTCGCCAAATAAGGCGGCACCCGCCTCACGTTTGGGGGTTTCCTTCCCCCCGATCCGTGGATCTGACGTCCGCGCGCCTGATCCACGCATCCCAATTCGCCCCTCCCACAGGGGGAGGAAAGGCCCATGCCAAGAAACATCTTGCTTGCCTCCAGGGTGCCCTGTGTTTCTTGGGTTTCGATGGTTTTGCTATGAGAAGCGTGACGTTCCCACGCCAAAAATCAGTGGGCGTCCTGGGGTCTCGGAGTTGGGTTTCCTGTGGAAGGTTCCGTGTGGTCGGGCCCCTATTGTAGGGGACGAGGAGGGGGGGGGGGGCGAGGAGGAGGAGGAGGAGGGGCGGAGGGTTCGAGGGTTGGGGATCGAGGCGTCTTTGACAGCCTCTCTGTCTGCTTGGGCCCTCGGAAGGCTGCTCCTCGCCGCGGCCCCACACTTCGGCTGGAGCTCGGGCCGGGCTGCGCCCACGCGGTGGCCTGGCGGCCGATTTTTGAGGCCGGAGCCGGCGGCGCTCAAACCTCCGATTGGTGGTGCCAAGGTGGTTCAGGAGGGAAAAACATGCACAGACACAGATCATCGTCGACTCCCAGGAGACTGTATGGAGCGTGTGGGAAGTGGAGGGGAAGACGAGGTTCAGTAACGATAGGGACGAATATGGGGGATCCTGGAGTTTGTGCATATTTATTTTTGTGTCCCTGAGCCCCTTCCTTCTCCCCAGGATCTTGGGTCGGTGCTCCATCCACGTCTCTTCGCAAGCCACTGGGCTGGATCGCGCAGCGGCGTGGGGGGCGGATCGCATGCAGTGGTTTCGGCGCGCGCGGCGGAGCCAGGACGAGCTGTGGGCGGGGCGGTCTGTGGGCGGGTGTCCACGGAGCAACTCGGGATAGCCAAGGGTCGCCTTCTTAGCCCCCACGGTGTGCAGCCCGCCAACTCTGGAGGCTCAGGGACAGCTCGCGGTTGGCGGTGGAGGCCTGTGGAGGTTCGGAGTAGGGGATCGACAACATAATTGAATTACCCCAACAGCGATTTCCTCGCCGAATCCATGAACACTGCGTAGACTGTTCGTATATCTGCGGATATTCTGCGCACTGCGCATTGTGCATGGCTTCGGCGAGAAACAACAATTTTGGGGTCGATGATTCTGTAGCCGACCCCCTACACGAAGACAGTTCCCACTTTCTTTGGCGTCCCCCCAACATACTTCTAATATATGTACGTCGCCCCCTAGGGGCGACGCGCGCACCGAGAAGTCTTACGATACATGCGTTGTGGCGGGCGCTTTCTGGCCACACCGCTCGGGAAACGATATACTACAAGATGGGTATACTATATGTTCGGGTCGGACACGCGCCTTCAAGGAGGACATCTAGTATTAGTATGTCACTGTGCGTCCCATCTCTTGCTCCCTTCGGTCCTGGTTTGCCTCCCAGAGCCTCATGTATTCGTGGGTGTAATAGCACACACACACACACACACCCAGTGGCGCTTCCGCGCGATTCCGCCACGGCGGTCGAGCGGGCGCCGCAGGGGGGGGGCGGGCGCCAGGGGGGGGGGGAATAATCCACGGAACGTTCCTCCCCCGACCTTGTATGTGGGCTGTGAAAGCATGGCGCGACTGACCGGTCGTGTGTCTACTTTGCGTGTTTCTGCTTGTGCACCGTCTGGTGCAAGCTCCCCCCCTTCCTCCTCCTCCTCCTCCTCCTCCTCCTCCTCCTCCTCCTCCTCCTCCTCTGCGTCACCTTGATGTGACCGGCGGCCCGTTTGTTTAATGTTTCACTTTGCTCACGCACTGGCAGGTGCAATTCTCACTTGACTTGACTTGACTTGACTTCTGCCTGGAGGGCCAAAGAACGCAAGGGTTTGGTTGTAAAAACGAGCGCATCTTGGGCTCTTTCCCTTCCAGAGTCTCACTTCTTCGTGGGCGACAGCCTCGCTGTAATCATGTTTCCCGCCATGTCCTTGCTCCAGGCCCAGCGCTCGAAACGGTCGGTCGTTGAGGGACCAGGCCAGCGCCTTCCACACCATATGCGTGGAGGCGCGCAGCGTTGGCAGTCTCACCGCGCGCATGGCCAGCTCGGGGGGGAACACACATCATGTCTCCGTGGGCGAAAAGCACACGCACGCACATGTCCGTGCCCGCGGCCTCGAGAGCCGTGCCCCCCTTTGGCCGCTGCCCCTAAACTATATTTTTGGTTTTGTTGTTGTCGTTTGTTTCTGTTGTTGTCGTTGTTGTTGTTGCTGCTGTGTTGTTGTTGTTGTTGTTGTTGTTGTTGTTGTTGTTGTTGTTGTTGTTGTTGAGTTCTCATTTGTGAAACATATTTATTGTTGATCCCCCTATCACCGGTGCATGCTGTTTTTCTCAATCAAAGTGTGCTCCTCGACGCTCGCACCCTGTTTTTTGACAGGGGAAGTCTTCCTGCTCAAACTGTGCCCCTGGCCACCCGGATTCCAACAACGGGTCCCGCTTGAGAATTCCTTTAAATTTACTCAGGACCCCCGCTCCCGCCTGAGACTTCTCACAATTTACTCAGGATCGGTGCTCCCGCCTGTGACTTCCTCGCAATTTAGTCAGGACCCCCGCTCCCATCTGAGACTTCTTCACAATTTGCTCAGGAACGGCGCTCCCGCTTAAGACTTCCTCGCAATTGAATCAAGACTTCCTCGCAATTTAATGAAGACCCCCGCTCCCGCCAGAGAATCCCTCACATTTCATTCAGGAATTGCGCTCTCGCATGTGACTTTCATGCGATTTACTCATAAACCGCGTTTTCGACGCTCAGGAAACACGCTGCGCCAAGGACGCCGTCACAATTTACTTAGACATCGCGCTCTCGCCATACTCAGGTATCCCGCTTGAATGTCGCACCCGCCCGACCCGCCCGTCAGGGGATCGCCCGCCCGTCGTGGGCTCCCGCCCGAGACTTCCTTCAGGTACGGCGCTTTCGCGTAGAACTTCCTCGAACGTTCACGCTCTTACCTTCCTGCTCCTCCTTCCTCTCCCTCCCTCCTCCCTCCTCCCTCCTCTCCTCCCTTCTCTCTCCCTCCTCTCTTCCATCATCCTTATGCCTCTCTGCCCTATCCCCTCTCCCTCCTCTCTCCCTCCTCCCTTCTGTTGAAAGAACACGCTATCCTGTCAGCCCCGAAACGCCGCTCTCGTTTGATGTCTCTCTCCCTTCATATTCTCCCCTCTCTCGTTTCATGATATTCGTATTGGACTGATGTTTATATTTGGGTGTGCTAGCTATTTGCTTTTTGTGTTGCTCGCCTCGTATCATCGCTCGCTTGCTGCACACTTTGGTTCGAGTCGAGTTGAGAGATTATGGCTTCTGGCGCGGGAGCCCAGGAAAGAAGAGGGCCGCATCCCTAGGGCTGACGCCCTCGCCGCCATATCCCGGTGCGGAGCCAGGGGGGGCGCGGCGCTCTCTCTCCCTCGGTTCCGCAGTGGTGGCGGAGCGCACTGGAGCGCGCGCGGGCTGCTGGGCATCATCGGCAGGGGTCTACCAGAGTGGAGTTGTCGTGGAGGATGGGTTCTACGAGAAGGACGAGTACTACGAGGATTGGAGATGGAACGCAGCAGTGCTTCGTCTCTAGGACAGCGCAGACCGGCTACGGGAAATGGCATCCTGAGCCCGGACGCGCTGCCGCCGCGACCAGCCTGGTCGCGAGAATGGTGGACACGGAGATCGACTACGTCCATGACGGGGCCGCTGACGGCAAACCGCGACTTGGAAATAATTCCGACGTGGGATGGTTCGGCGAGTCGTTGGAGGCGGTGCAAGAAGGAGTGGCGCTGTGGATAGAAGGCGTCGATTTAGACGTGAGCTGGAGTTGGGCCGCCCGCATGGTCAGGTTCTCGACCAGGCCCGCGAAAACGCTCGGCGATTCCATCCCGATGGAGGAGCTGCGACCCAAGCAGTGGCGGTGGATCGTCGACCAGGAGGCCTTCGAGGACGAAGACGAGCGAGGTCACTGGGAGGAGGCTGACTTGATGGCGGGCATCAACAAGTTGATGGAGGTGCTCGCGACCATGGGTGTGGATGAGTCGACGCGCGGGGGCCCGGTGATGACGTATTTCTACAACCAGC